AAACGGGTCGTTACAACATCTCAGAAAATTCTATATGTATATGATATTTGCCTAAGTATTCTTCTAATAACAATTAACTTTATCTAATTTGTCTAGGATATTAACGATTTCACAAAAATAAAAGCTAAGTGAATCATCACTAAACGATTTCACCATTCTTTTAAGATTTCACTTAGAGTCTACATTTGATTCGTTACTTTCTTTCTTTTTATATTAATTACTTACTTTTTCACGTTAAAAGAAATTAAAAATAAAAAGATAATTTTACCATCTCAATTCGTAAAAAAAAAAATTTCAAAAGTTTTATAAACAAATGTGAATACTTTTCAATACGAATTAATTGCAAGTAGGATACGAAAAATTTAAGTAACGATTTCTTGATTTTGTATTATAGACAACTAATATGAAACAAAATATTTAAATTAAATGATTAAAAAAAGAGTCTCAAATTAGTTGATCACTTTTCATTTTGAACCCTACTTAAAAAGGCATAAATTTAAAAATGATTTTTACTAGTTTAATCCTTAAACAAACTTCTTCATAATTATACAAACAAATATAAATACTTTCAAAAATCCTTAATTACAAAGATAATATAGAAAAAAGTTAATTAATATTTTCTCTATTTCAATTTATATGATATTTTTTCTTTTAATCGTCTAAAAAAGAATGATATTTTTATATTGAATAATAATTTAATCGTAAAATTTCTATTTTCGTTTTAATAAAATGATTTACTACTATATAAATATTTATAACTCATTTGAACCATAAATTTTAAGAATATTTCTTTCATTTTTAAAATATATATCGAATTTTACTATTTCACATAAATAATATAAAAAAATATTTTTTTTATTCACCAATGATCAACTAATATAAGACGAACTTGAATTAAACGAATAAAGGACACATTAACTTCACACCTCAAATTGCGGTGCCATGCATGAGACCACTTGTTTAGCATTGATACGTGGCACTTAACAAGAATGCCTTATTCGATTCTCCACGTGAGCTCCATATGATAATAAAACAGGTGGCATTATTTAAAGGGTAACTTTATTCAAAAACGATTTGCTCGAAACGAGAAACCAAACTCTGTATTCTTTTAATCATTTACTTGACCATACAAATTTTGATTACATCACTTACAAAATCGACAAAATTGGCACTAACTTTCTTTTACAAAAATAATTAACTAACCAAGTACACCCTCATTACCGTACACCAAAATGTTTAGCTAAGAAATTTATATATATTTCTTGCACAAGTACCCCTCAACCTATACTCAAAATTTTAAAGACACACTTATATTATATTAAGGTCCTATTATCTTCCTGAACTTATTTTATAAGTAATTTTCTATCCCTTTTTATCCTACGTGACACTGATTTGAAAAAAAAAAGTTAACCATCAATTGGCCCATAAGACAGTGTCACGTAGGCCCAAAAGAGGTAAAGAAATTATTAATAAAATAAGTTCATGGGTAATAGGACCTTGGTATAGTATAAGTGTGTCTATGAGATTTCGGGCATAGGTTGAGGGGCTACTTGAGCATTATCCCTATATTTTTAGTGAAAATACATAATATCTCTTCAATTTATATTTAAAATTTTATAGATATATTTATATCATATTAAGGTTTTATTATTTTTTAAATTTATTTTATTAATAAATTTTTATTTCTTTTTAATTTACGTAATATTATTTTGTAATCAAACGGTAATTGACTTTTTTTCAAGCTAGCGTTATTTAAGTCGAAAAGGATTAGAAGATTACTTATAAAATAAGTTGAGAAAGTAATAGAATCTTAATATAATATAAATATATTTTTGCGATTATGAAAATAGATTGATGGGATACTGATACATTTTTTATATTTTTTATAATAAGTATGTAGGATATTGTATCAGACTGATTATTTGAATTTGTGTGCTAGTAAAAAATATAATAAGGAAAAAATGGGTGGTATAAAGTTATTTATTTTTGATAAAATAATAAATAACTTGTGTAAAGAAAACAAATATATACCGAATGGAGTATTTATATTTTTGTAACCTAAAAGGCTAACTAAAACCAAAAAATGTTGTAACCTATACATTTATGAACAGTAGACAAAATTGAATGCATTACTTTTTATTGCTATATTTAGGTTGTGTCCAAACGGGAAGTATTGGGTTTTAAATTAAATAAGTAATTGAGAAATACTATCCATTAAGAGCACAAACAAAAAAAATAAATTGCTATTAACTAACATAACAAACATCGTTCAAGATAAGTACAAAATCTTGCTGGTATTTTAAGGGGAAATAAGAAGACTTTATAATGCTAAATGATTTTAAAATTTAACTCAATTTAGAAATTTAGGTCAAAATAATATAAAATTGATTTTTAATTTGAAGATTATTGGTTAAAATAGATTCAATTTTAACATTTAATTAGAGAAATTAATGTTATAATGCGAAAATTTGAAAGTGACCTCCGAGATATTCATATAGAGCAGATGATCACGCTTCTAAGAGTTCAAGGAAAAAACTCATCCATCTCGATGTGGGATTCTTCATTCATCACACACGCTTAAAAAAATTAAATATTTGATATTAAATATTTGATTCTGATCATATCATATTAAATGAAATTAAATTGAATATAATTCTAAAATTAACTTAAACATAAGAAATATTCAAGACCCGAAAAAAATTCAAAAAAAAAATCATCTACCCACCTATGAGGTGGAACTCTTCATCTATACACTTTGTGGGATCTTAAATGTTTCCTCATGTAGTTTCTAGAGGAAAGAAAAAGTACAAAAGGGTAAAAGTAAATTCCAAAAAGTTAAAGTTCAACGGGGCAATAGTGGTTGAGTTAAAAAAAATTGTCAAAAGGTTGAAAAAAAAGGTTTTTTAACTCATAAAAAGAATTTTTAGCATTATTTAGCAGTACAAAATATATCAAATAGGCACCTTTCGCAATAATAATAATTGCAATGTTTTAAAAAAAATAGTTATAATGTCATGGATGATTAGTAATACTTTAATTTTCATTGGTAAATGAAAATCTTTCTTTTAAGCAAGAAGAAAGCAGTTTAGAGATAAGCAATGTTTTAAGTACTCCAGTAATTCTCATAATATCAATTAAAATAGTAATTTACTATTGAGTTATATATTTTTAATATCCTTTCAAGACGTATTTATATGTTACAGTAATAATAAGAAAAAAGTCTTCTCTAATAGATAAAAGGAAGTAACTTAGAGATAATCAAAGCTTGAACCAACAATATTCGACATATTAAGAGGATAATCTATCATCGAATTATATTATTTTTCATCTCCTTTCAAGATTTTGTATGTTACTAGTTAAAAGTCTCTACACTATCAATAAAAAAAATTGAAACTCAAAAAAGAAAAATGATATATGATTTCTATACATTTTGAGATGAATTATATATTTATATTATATTAATAATAAATAAATAAAAAAGGTATAAAATAATTAAAAATCCTTTACAGCATTAGTAATGGAAGTACTCAAGCTCAAAAAAAGTGTTAAGACCTAAAATTCATAACAATGGCGGTAATAACGCATGATTCCAAGCATTCTTTTAGCCTCCTCTATTATTATTAGAAGGTTTTATTTATGCCAAAGATTTAATAAATTATATTTTTATAGTATAAATACAAATTACTAAAATTTCAATGAAAAAATTAATTGAAACCTCTTATCCATTATTTTATTTTATTATATAATATAATTAAATAGCAAACTATTAAAGGTGAATAATAAGAGGTGAAAAAATATATTCACGGAAGGAGGATGCCAACAGGATAGTACGACTGTACGAGTCACAACAATCTTAAAAGAAATTTGTACAATAGTAGTTTTAAAAAATAATATAAAAAAAAACTTACCAATTTTTGAAAAATACTTTTTTTTAATCAAATTGTATAGAAACTCTACTTCAACTATTATGTTATGGTTCGTTTTGAATCTACGCCTATACAAAATCTATCATTCAAATTTTAAATCGATAAACACATTAACAGTCAATTTTAAAATTATTTTTATAACGTTTTAAATTTTTTTACGTTATTTCGATTTCAAATTCACCTATAATGTTCATCTTTTTTCATAATACTTATCTTCCATGAACGTCATCTAGACCAAAACCCTTAATTAGGTGAGATTTTAACTCAAATCGAATAATAATAGATTCTAATATAGATTTAAAAAATTAGAAAAGAGATGAAATTAGATTAACGGAAGTAAGATTCCTAGCTACCGCCATGTGACGACATAACCTATCTTAAAAGAAAATCAAACTAAAAAAAAACATACTTTTTCATCATTTTAATTTATTTTTAACTTAATAAAATAAACCAAAAATAATAATTTAAGTTAATAATATGACAAACATAACGTCTTTTTATCTTATAATTTTTAAACGCATCACCTAAAAGGTTTAAAAAAAATTAGAGACCAAATGTGACACATATAAAAAACAAAAAAAATAACGATTTAAATTAACAATATAACAAGTATAAATCTTATGATAAAAGTTAAATAAAATTAAAAAAAAATGTATAGCGTAAATTAAAATAGGAGAGCGTGTAAAAACAACAACAATAAGGAGAATATTGTCTTTTCATACCAAAAAAAAACTAATATTGCATGCAGAAGAAGTATGTATGGAGCTGCCACCTATCTCTCTTTGCATGTCAATCCCTAATGCTATTCAGCCACGCACTTCCTTGCCCATCACTCACACCATCCTCGTCACTCTAAGAAAATAATATGTTTTATCAAATATATTCATTTCATTTTGTTTTTTGTTTACTATATAATCATCCCTTTGTTCACATCTTTTTTTCATGTCCCCCAATATTCTCTAATTCACTTTATAAACATTTCTCCATTTTCAAATCATGGAAGGCCTTTGTGCTGAATTGCACCACCATAAATTTCATCCTTCGCATCAACTCTACAAGAAATCTCTTCGTGACATTGATATTCCACCGAGAAAATTACTAAGCCGTCGTGCTACTCTTTCATCAATCGACCATGTTGTTTCTGATGTCCAGTTTATGGACTCGCCAAAGTCTGAATCAGACGCTCAATTTCAGAAGTTTTTACCGTACAACAGTTTAGACGATGATGACGATGCTGATCCGTATTCATCTGATCATTTTCGTATGTATGAGTTTAAAGTAAGGCGGTGTACTCGTAGCCGGAGCCACGATTGGACGGATTGTCCTTTTGCTCATCCGGGAGAGAAGGCGAGACGGAGGGATCCGAGGAGGTTTCATTATTCCGGTACGGTCTGTTCTGAATTTCGAAAAGGAAATTGTAGCAGGGGTGATAATTGTGAGTTTGCACACGGGGTGTTTGAGTGTTGGCTTCATCCAACTCGTTATAGAACTGAAGCATGCAAAGATGGGAAAAACTGTAAACGGAAGATTTGTTTCTTTGCACATACGCCGAGGCAGCTTCGTGTACTTCCACCTGGTTGTTACGAAAGTGGCTCATCACCTAAGAATTTGAATTCAGAGAAAAAATACAGAAATCTGAACCATTGTTGTGTTTTTTGCCATTCTGTTTCTGCTTCCCCGACTTCTACTTTAATCGGTATGTCACATATCTCTCCCCCTATGTCCCCATCCCTCTCACCGCCTCTTTCCCCTGCAAATAGAAACCAGTTTTCTTCTCCCATCTCGCGTTACAGTGAGCGTTTTGGTAGTGTTGAGGCGTCGTCCTCTGGAATGTGTCAGCTGGATCCATCTGGGCTGATGAGTTACAAAGATGCACTTACTGAATTGGTTAGCTCATTGGAAGCTATGAATGTGAATCATGAACCCAATTCTTCAGCAGCAGCTTCTACTCACTCTCATTCTGTTAATTTTGATGGGAATTTACCATGGCTTGATGTGAATTTCAACAACAGTAGTTACGATGATCAGCAGCAGTTCCTTCTTTCGCCTTCGACTCCATCTCCAAGTCCAATTTCTAACTCCAGAACCAAATTTTACGCAAGGGAATTTCCATCTGCTAGCCCTGTTTCGAGCTCGAGGTTGAGCTTTGTAGAAGAACTGAACAATAACAATGGTACGAACAGATTTTACAGTGACAATGGATTAAGTGGAGGACCAGATCTGGGATGGGTCAATGACCTACTGACTTGAAAAGGGAAAAAAAAAGTTATGGAGAGCTCATGGGCCATTGATGGAGCTCGCTTTTTTGTGGTCCTACAAATTAAACAATTGTTGATGATGACGACAGAGGAAGAAATTATTGAGAGATTCGAGTAAGGATGATTTTTGTATATACAAGTTTTTAAGTGTATTGTTTTAATTTACTAGCTGCTGCTACTGCACCATCCATATATAATCAACAAGAACAAAAGAGTGTATATATGAGATGGAAGAGATGGAGGATGACGACGAAGATGAAGATGTGTTACTGTTATTATTTTTACTAATTCTGGAAAAGCTTATTAGATTTTTCTGTTGCCTTAATTTTTAATGAATGTAAGATTTCTGGGTCGGGTCTGTTGATTATAAAGCTGTAATTTGCAATTTCAATTTCCGTTTTGTTCGTGTGAGTTGATTATGATGTTGTATTAATGTTTAAATTGAACTAATATAATATGTTGAATTACATCTTTCTTTTGCATTAAAATCAATGGAGTAAATTGTTTCTGGGGATTTTCTTCAATGCTATTTATAGTATTTTTTGAAGAAATAAAATGTGGATTCGTTTAAGATAAAATTCTTGAACTTCGTACAATTCCGTGCAGTTGCTGAAAAAGGAGTATCGATATAATTCGTGTGATATTTCTATTAGTGAGATATTCCATGCTATTACTAAAAAGTTTCTGCTTTCATAAAATATTTATTTCATATCTAGTCCATTCTGTATGCTCTTATGTCTTACATTATTCGTTAATATATGTATATATCGTATTTTTTATATTAAATATTTATCATTAATGAACAGCACGTAATTTTTATTTTAATTCTGAAAAATTATTAGTTTTAAAAATGTAAATTTAATAAATATAAGATAATTGTATTAATTAAAATGAATTATTTATGTTTATTTATGAAAAATTTAACTTCAAAGAGAAATGAGATAATGATAGTTTACTTACCTTTAATGAGAAATATAAAATAGTGATGTATAATTAAATAAATTTCTTATGCTTGTGTGTTTGAAAATAAGAAATGTGAATAATTAAGTAAATTATTTATGCTTTTGTTGGGAACTTGATTTATTGAAATGATAATCTACTGACATTTCTTAAATCTAAAATGGTAACATATATTTAAATAAATTATTTATGTATATTTGTTAAAAACTCGGTTTCAATAAATGAAAATTTCAAAAAATATAAAAATAAAATGATGTTATACAAATAGAAATAAAGGAGGACATTTTTTAAAATTTTATGTCTATAATTTCTATACTTTTAGGAATTAAAATATTTTTTAAAAGAAGCTAATCTATAAGAAAATTATAATAAAATCAATTAATTACTATATGAAAAGAATAATAAAATCAACTCATTTATCAATAATTTCTTTTAAGTATTCGTATAAACTGAAAAACATTTATTTAATATAAAGACAGGAGTAATTAACGATATATATAAATAGGTGTTCATTTTTACTCTTTTTTTTTTTTGGTTAGAGTTTGGAAAATTGAGAAGCAATTTAACTCTTTTGAGACATAAACAGGACAAGTTAAAATGAAAAAAATATTTTTGATATATAGAGGCACGGACGGACCAATTTTGGTCTAGGGTGTTCAGCCGCACACTTTCTGTAAAAAAAATAAAATACACGATATATATAGTAAATTTTTTGTGTTTTTATAAATGTGTATATTTTAAACACCTTCCGTAACAAATTAAAATAGACGACTTAATGATAGGACTCGTGAATGTTAAGTTGGTGAATTCCTTAATTATGTTTTTCAAGTACTTTTTATTTTAAAAACGTGTCAAAAATATACTTAAAAAAATTTATGTATACATTTATATCTTTATTTTTCAAATTTCTTAAACAAAAATTTTGGATGCGCTAGTGTATAGGCGTTAAAACTATGAGAGTAATAATGAGACAAATTAATTAAAGTTGCGGTGGCGTATCAAAGCTTGAAGGTGAGACATGTGGCATCCATGCAGATTGTACAGAAAATAGGATATTTTGAGAACTTTATGATGGAATATAGTTTGTATTTTTGTTATTTTGGATTTTATGGGTATCATCATGACATCTTTTTATGTTTTTGTTTTGTTTTTTGGTAGTTTTTTTATAATTAATTTTGGATAAAATAATTTTGAGAAAATGGAGAAGGGTTGAGCTCTCTCAACAAAATTAATCATTAATTGCAATAAAATTATCTTTGAATTTATTTTTTTTTCATTTGTGGTAAATTGAAATTTGAATATATTTAAATTTATTTGAACAATTTATATTGGAATAAATAGTTTACTTTGACGACTTTATTTACAGAAAACTCTGAACCAAAATTAATAATTATATTTACAAAAAACTCAAATTATAAACATCTGATTTGAAAGAAAGAATAGAACTCCTTACAACCCTTTTTGGTAAACATAATTGATTCGTTGTGTGCGGGTTTTTTCATATTTATTTCATAGTGATAGTAAATTTTTATTTTCATATGACATCATGAGAAAGAAAAATGTTTTTCTTTTTAATTGTTGGGTGCAATAAACTTTTTAATTTTTATTTTTTCACTATTATTTTTTTTTCAAATATTTATATTTAATATAAATAAATACTATGAGAGATCGACGTGACTCGCGAGATGGTGAGATTGGAGTGAAGATAAAGTGTATATTGAAGTATGGGACGACATAATATAACAAATATAAATATCACTCGAGTTAACCTGAAGCATTTTATATTTTCTACTTTATAAACGAAAGTCATATTCTTTAATTTTTAAGAAAAATCTTCTTTCTTAAAAAAAAAAAAGGAATTTAGACCAATCAAATAAAAAAATTTTGAAAAATTTATTCGAGGTCGTGTGGTCAATATCAGTAAAGTCATTTTAAAAGAATATATTTTTACGACGTAATTTTTTTTATGTTTGGTTAATATCCCTCAAGAGAGAAAAAATGTCTTTGGCAAGATCATCTCCTTATAATTATCTTTTATCTTTATATAATCTCCAAAATATTTTCTGCAATTATACATTGAATATTAACTATAATAATAAATATTAATAATTAGAAAATAATTAATCAACTCTCCGTAGCTATAGCTACATGTTATATGAAGGAGAGGGATGAGCGAGACTGAGAGAAAGAGGAGAGATGCGAGAGAGAGGGGGAAAAGAGTGGGAGAAAGATGAACTGTATATTGATTAGATAATTGTATATTATACATATGTATTTGTATATATGACGAGAGAGATCGAGAGTGGAAGGAGAGAGAAGAGAGCGAGAGAGGTGAATTATATATGTATATAATTGTATATTATACATATACATTTGTATATAAAGCAAGCTAGATTGGGAGAGGGAGGAGAGAGGCGAGCCAAAGAGGACAAAAAGTGGGAGAAGGATGAATTGTATATGTATATAAGTTAAATACTTATATATTATACATATGTATTTGTATATTCTGACGAATTATACATATACAAAATAACTAATTATACAAATTTAAAATCAACCCACTTAATTAATGTATAATGTTTAGTCACGAGTGATAATCATAAAAAATTAAATAATATAAATTTACTTTATTGCATAACTTTCCTATTAAATAATAGTATCTAACTTCTCCAACTAATAATATAAGAAATTTTCTAGAAAATACTTTTTGCCATAGAAAGTGAACTCAGGCAATACCAAAAGCACTCTAATGTACTTCAATTTTTTTGTAGCTACCTAAAGGCCAAAACCCCTAATTAAGTGCAATTACCCAGACCTAGCTAGCTATCTTTTTTTTTAATTGTTCTCTCTATAATTAAGGTACTAGGAGGGAGATATATTATTAGGTTCTTGGATAAAATCTTGAAACTTGACCTAACTATGCACATGCTCTCACCATGGTTTAGGACAAGTGGAGTAATATTAAACATGGCATGTGGCACTTAAGGGTGTGGTTAATAATTAATAAACTAAATTAAAAAATTTCTAGTCACATATTCAAATTTCAATACAGATAAAAAATATTGAGTAATTTCTTTTCATATGTTTAAGTTATGATAGACATAGAGTTACTCGTTACATGTGCATGTAAGAAAATATTAAATAATAATTATCTCATGAAATCAATGCATGAATTTATATGCACAAACTGATTCACATATCGCGATTATTACGAGTAAAAGTACCAAACATGGCATGAGTAAACAAGGTGGTATTGCATATATGATTGCACATTGTATATATGTTCATATTGTATGTTTCCTAGGAGGGTACTAATACAGCAAGGAAGGTAGGGCATTAAAGACTATAATTCAGTCTATCTACATCCATATGGGGTAGAGTTTGCTTGCCAATATTCTTGCTAGGGTTAGGTGAATGATATATTTGTTGTCATAGATTCACAAGAAATGGTATGTGAAGTGGGGAATAGCCAGCCTAACACTAAAAGTGACCTATGCTTTCTAATTCATGAAGAGGTCCCCCACATGCCATATTTTCTATGACCTACTCACCCATATACATATTCACTTCCTATAGATATGTTCATTCTCTTTTGTTGGTTTTATGAAATGAATTCTATGCTATGCTAATAATGGGACAATAAGGCCCATACTATACCACTCAAGTAACTTTTTAAATTTGTGTTGGGGCATGGCTCAATAATATTCCTTACACGAGTTTGCCTTAGTTTTCACACTTGTTTTCTCATGTATAGTGGTGGTGTATGCAAAATATTAGACAAGAAATGTTTACCTAGAGCTATATATGGTGAAGTTAAAAAAATTTCTAAAGCTAGTGTTCTAGAATTTTTACATATAACTAGGCCTATATATACCTATATATATATATATATATATATATATATGTATTATT